AGACGAATTCCTACCTTATTTTCTTGAGGAAGATATGAAGTCGTCAAAAAGAGAGCACCAATATTGTTCTTGCCATGGAAATCAAAATTTTAGGGCTACCAACGGCTATTTTTGAGTTTAAATTGGGGAAGATACAAAAATTGATTAAATAATTAATATTAAAGAAAGAAAATGACATGTGGCTGTTTTAAACTGGTAAATAAAAAGGAAAAATGGCTCATGACGTGCCTAACGTGCGTGTAAACAACCCAGATGAGTTAATGGGTAAAAATGGCCAATTTACAACGATATATTGTTGTTTAGTGGTGTGATAGGACACTTCAAAAGTTTAGGTGTCTTTATGCAAATATGGGACAACTTCTGATGGTGTCTTTATGTTTTTTCTCAACTTTATTTTGTATCAATAAAATCACTCAGATTTGATCTTTATATCAATAAAATCACTCAACTTAAGCATTTATGTCAATAAAATCATTCAACCAAATTTATCATTAAAAAAATAAATTAAAATATTTTTTAATATCTGATCACAATTAAAATAATAAAATAAATAGCTTACGTTACTACTTTATTACAAAAAAAAATATTAATAGATAATTTCATCAGTTTCATTTGATAAATTACTACTACTTCATTTGACTGTATAACAAACACTGGCTGGGATGGTTTAATCAGTTTGTTGTTTGTGTGAACGGCGCAAGCTTGGAGAATTTTAGGTTCAAGTTTGATAAGTTAATCTTTTATTTTTAATTGTATATTATTTTATAATGAAATAGTAACTTTGAGTAATTTATTCAGTAATATAATCCTATATATAGTATAAAAATAATTTATTTGTGGTGTAATTTTTTGTAATGATGAATATGAGTGAATGGTCTTATTGATATAAAAAACTAAATTAAGTGATTTTTTTTTTATACAAAATAAAGTTCAATGACTTTACTAAATAAATTTCTAAAGTTGAGTAACCTTTTGAGATATTAACTTGTATCTATATATAGGGGAAGGAGGAGTAATTACTTAATTTAATTTTTCAAATATCAAACCAAATTTAAATTTTTAAACCAAACCTACACACTATGTGGTCAAGTCCTAATGTTAAAAGGATAAAAAAATGAAACTTTTAGGCCTTTAGAGTTTGTTAGTGACTTTGACATTAGACATTCTACATTATTTAGAGGTGGTCTGACCCATGAAAAATTAAATTTTCTTTTGATTTTTAGAGTTTTTTTTAGAGAAAATCTCTTTCTCATATTTGTAAATTGTTTACGAAGAATATGATCATTGATTCATATAGTCGATATCAACTCGTTTAGATGAGATGTATAGGTTTTGTAATCTTTTACTCTTTTTTCTTTTTGTACTTTTATGGTCAAAATGGAAATTAATCGGTTTTGCTCCTATCTACTTTAAGTTTTCTAAAACATTTTCATTTATTCGTACTTTAACTTATTCTGTAAAATGGAATTAGTTTCATGTAAAATTCTTATTATGTACATGGAGTATTATTTTCCAAAACCTAGCTTTACAATCAGAAGTTTGTTCCTCTGTCTCTTTATATATATGGCACACAAAATTTTTTATATCACTTTCTAATATAAACGGATAGTCGGATGCATAAAACATGATCTTATGTTCACGATCAGAAACAGAGACACGTCACATCTCAAAAGAGTGGAGTCATGCAAAAGCAAGGTAATATTATATTGCATTGTTATAAGCCTAATTACTTCCTAATCAACAGTGGACAAAGCTTCACTAAAACACTGTAGAGGAATGATAATATATTAAAGCTTCAATGTAATTACTTCCCAATCAACATAATCCCTCCAAAATATATTAAACTCATACTTAATAAAAGATATGCACTTAAAATAACTAAAAAGACATATGAAGATGCTTAGAAACATTTAAGTTTATTATTTTCAACAACCTTGACTTATTATTCATTCGGATGAAATAATAGAAAACCTTATTTAAAGTAGTAATTATAAGAAGAGAGAAGTATTGTAAAAACATTTCTAAACTTGGCGTAAATTATTAGTTTTATTTCTGAACTATTGACGGCCATAAAAATATCATTCTACTTGACTAATTGAACTTAAATACACCTTAATCCTAATCTTGCCATACGAGTGAAATACATCCCTAATTCTCGTCAAATTTTGGGATGTTTTCAAAACTTCTCTCGACTTTTTATTAAGAGTCTCACGCTCGTACAAGGATATGAAACCATTTGCTATGCTATGTGGTAGATCAGGGTGTATTTAAGTTGAGTAAGACAAATAGATGAATGTTTTTAAGATTCCCAATTATTCAAGAATGATACTAATAATTCACGTCAAGTAATTCCTGTGTGCTTTCCATACTTCTTGTTTATAAATATCAAAGTTCAAGGTCACTCCCTTGAAGCTTCAATTTGGTAATCTTGTCAAGTTGCTCTTCCATTTCAAGCTTCATGTAATTCTTCCAATCCCCAACAATTCCTTTTCTAAAAAATGCACTATTGTGGACAGAAGAGTAGATTGATCCACTCTTATTAACCTCCAAATTCTTAAGCCTCTCCAAGCTACACTTGTTCAAAACTATCTCCAAATCCTCTTCATTACCAAAAGGCTTTCCAAGAAACAAGGCTATCTTTGCCACCTCTTTCTTAGGGTCTATCTTCAAGTCTTCATACTTCAAGAATAATATCTTTTGAGGCTTTTTTTTGCTTTCTTCCCAATATTCAAGAACATGTTCAAAAAAGGGTCCATATAGATGAACCCCTTTGCAAAAGTTCTCCACAACTTCTTCTAAAGGAGTGAGATCTTCTAAACGCTTACGATTGTTGAAGAAATGCCACATAGAAATCAAAGTATCTTTAGGATTTCTTGTTATGTATATAATCTTGCAATTATCCGAATTTTTAATTGAATCTGGCAAAACCCTATAAGGTAAATGTGTGTGAAATAATCTTGGAGAGGGCATTGTGTATAGATCATGAGTTAGAGTTTTTGAATAATAATCCATGGCCTCTATTGTTGGAACATAAAAATGAGGATTATCCTTAACTAAAAGATCTTCTTCGTCTTCCTCTTTATTACCAGCTTGCATGATGGATACACATATGGCCTTGAGCCATGTTGAACCTGTAAGACAAACATTAGACATTAGAATGAAAATATGTACTTCTTTTTTACTAGTTAATATCTTGTTTCTGTTGATCATTGATATGTAAAAAGTTACAATTTTGACGTGATGAAAATATATAGTTGATGAAAGGTAGACCTAAGAGATATATACCAACTATAAGGCATTCTAATTTTTAAATGATACACGCCACACACACACAAGAACATAAAAACAGTTGATGAGTTCATTAATCAAACTCAAATCAATTGATTAATTAATAAAAACCTGTTTTCATGGAAGATGCCAAGAGAACATCATTTGGTTTTGATTTGAAGGTTGCTTTGAAGACCATGGCTGCCTTTAAAATGATAAGAGTAGACCAAAACCCTTCCCACTGATAAAGTTGATAATTATTCCAAAAATAATCAATTTTGGGCAGTTGCTCTATAATTCTCTCTATTTCTTCATTATTCACAATTGGTGATGCACTCATTTTAGGAATAGAACTTAATAAAAATAGTGGTAGTTTAATTGGCCAAATGATATATGTGTGCGTATATATAGGGGAAGGATGTTGGAATCATTTTAAAAAATATTTACATAATCACACTACTCAAACACAATTAATCTGATGCAATAAGAGATATATAACATCTTGAGTTTAGTGATTCTAGCATACTCTATAATATATAGGATAACAAAAAATTTACATCACGAGTTAATTTTTTATTTAATTAGCAAGGAAAAATCGATTAAATGTAAAGTCATCCTAGTTGATGTCCATACGCAGCTCTGTTAGATAGGCATAGCCCTCCCTATCTATGTATTCAATTGAAGAAAGGTGAACTCAGGATTTGAAGGTTTTGGATGCACCAATATAAAAATAGCTCAAATATAAGGTCCAAGTTAAACTTAAAATAAAAATAGCTCTTAAGTGGAATTTGAACTCCGGATGCACCAATATAAAATGTAAAAATTATTTAAATCACATAGTGTAAAACATAAATTACCTTCTATCCCTACTTTTTTTCAATTTACAAAAAATCCCTTATTTTTAAGAAGTTTCTGATACATAATAAAACAGTCGGATACATTCTATATTATGCTATTTTATCCGTTTGTTGAGTGATTTGGGGATTAAAAACTGAAATTTGAATTAATTCCTACTTTTAATATGCTACAGTTATTAATCCCATAAAAAAAAGCATTAACGTGTGTGTTTCAAGATCAGTTTTATCCAATATAAAACTCTAAATTAAATTATAATTTTTCATTAGTGATCTTCCCTTTTTTTTTTTGGCAAACTAATTCTTTTTTTTTTGTTAAACACTATTTAAATTTTATATTATATTTATATATCAAATACTTTATTTTATAATCTTTGTTCAAACTTACTTTAATCAATATTAATTGCGGATATTTCACCCAAATTATTGTCAGTTCTAATTTAATTTAATTTAGTAATATAGTATCATGTGTGTAGATACTTAAAAAAATTTCATATTTTGAAGGATAAATAATTGTTCGTAATATATATAAATCATAGTACTGAATATATCTTATTTGTACAAAAGATATTAATTTTTTTAAAAAAAAAAACTGGCGTGTATCTAGTGTAATAACTAGTATCACTGTTTGTGATATTATATATTTTGATATTTCATGTATCATATACAAAATATAATTACGTATATAATTTTCTTTTTTTGTATCATGCAATATATTTACGTATATATAATAAGTGTTTTTTTATGACAATAATTACATTAATGTAATTATTATTATAGTTTTGATACAATAATGACATTCATGTCCCAATAACAGTATACATAATTCCTGAATTCATAACGGTAATAAAAATAAAATAAAAGTAATAGAATAAATAATTTTAAAAATCAAAACACTTTCATAATTTAACAATATGTGTTGTTATGTTAATAAATACTTCAAACATCTTGTTTAACTCCAAAAAACAAAAAAAAATCAAACATTGAAAACTAACTAGCCTACATTAACAATTTCATCTTCAGATGATGGGTTTAATACATTCTTCATTCTTGAAGGGTCATCACTGTTGCTAACATATCCAGCATTCATCTTGTCGAGACCATACTTCAATAAAAGAATCGCATATCTTTTGCGAAGATAGCTACTCTTAAAACTATTACATGACATGTTGATTTTGTCACTCAGAATTCTGCATATACAACTACGAATAGTCCGCAATCACTACAAAAACAATAAGAATAATTATAAGGATGAATAGAAACAAAAAATAAAATAAAATAATAAACAATACTCACAGGCTATCACTTATTTGTTGCATGTTGTCTTGAGCAAACTCCACATTAAACGAATGTTGTGGACCCAAAAGTTCTCCAGTTTTCTTGTCTTTATATGCATCCAATGCTGCCCAATCTGTTCTAACAACATATCATAAGTCAGTCAAAATGATACTTAACAGACACTTTATAGCCTAACATGATACAAAAAATGCAAAGTTGTACTTGATACATAAAGGTAACTACAATTATAAGTCTGTCTACTTGATACTAACATGATACAAAAAATGCAAAGTTGTTAATATGATACATAAAATGCAAAAATAAACTTGATACATAATTCTAACAACATATCATACGTCAGTCAAAATGATACTTAACAGACACTTTATAGCCTAACATGATACAAAAAATGCAAAGTTGTACTTGATACATAAGTGTAACTACAGTTATAAGTCTGTCTACTTGATACTAACATGATACAAAAAATGCAAAGTTGTACTTGATACATACGTGTAACTATAGTTATAAGTCTGTCTACTTGATACTTTATATAAACGACAAACTTTAACATGATACATGAAACATAAATTGTGCTTGATACATAATTGTAACAACACAATGCAAACCAATTATGCAAGCTCTTAGACTTGTTTTCAACTAATTTCGGATCTTCAAAAATATAGATTTGTTTAGAGTTTGAAGTGATTATTTGAGTAATCCCAAAACTAAATGACAGATGATCCATGAAATATTAGAAAAATAGAAGAATGAAAAGAGAGAATCGAAGAAGAACACAATACCTTTCAAGAATATTGGACGAAAATGGCGGACAGAGTAGACGAAATTGGCGATTTGATTTTTTAAGGCGGACAGAGTAGACAAAAATGGCGGACAAATTAGACGAAGACGGACGGACGGAGAGCACAATTTTGATTTTCAAAGGCTGACAAAGTAGACAAAAATGGCGGACAGATTAGACGAAGGTTGACGGATGGAGAGCACAAATTTTGATTTTCAAAATTGAGAAGATGAATCGTTGAGAAATTGACGCATTAATTTTGGGAGTGGTGTAAATGGGTTCTTTATTTGGGGAAAATAAAGAGTAAAATTAGGGATAAGATTTAATTGGTTAGGATTTATTAGGATTCTAATTTAATAATGTATCTGTTAAATTAGACTTATTAAAAAATAGGGATTTTAGTATTTTTTAAAAAAATAAGGGAAATATGGAGAATATGTAAACTTAAGTTGTATATTCAAGTAATTAATCCATATAAAATAGCTCAAATATAAGGTCCAAGTTAAACTTGAAACAAAAATAGGGCTTAAGAGGAATTCTAACCCTGGTCTAGAGGGTGGTATTTCTAACTTCTACCAATTGCACAAGAGAATTTCTATGCTTTTTATGGATATACTGTTTACTATATCTTAATTTCTACCATTTTTTCAAAATAGATATACATACGATTTTTCGTAAGTTATTAGGTGCACGTGCATCCTATAGTATAGTGTGGATCCGCAACTTGCTTTTAAAAGTCTCTTATCTCCGTTGACTATATTACACCGTCATGGATTATTAACATAGCAAAACGTAAAAGGAGGTTTTTGAAATTCATTTAAATTTCACATTTATTTAGAAATCATTCACGTTAAATTTAAGAAGTATCACAATATCAGTAAAAAAAATTTGTCAAATTCAATTTGATGGTATATCATAATTTTGTAAATTAAATTAGTTTATTTTGTACATCTCTAAAATTTGAAGAAGAAAAAAAAAAGAAAAGACAAGCAATGAATCCACCCATGTCATACATACTTGGTAGAAAATAAATAGAGTTTAAATTGCCTTATAATATTATTTTCTTATGGGAAAATGAAGCGGTTAAGTAAATTTATACTATTTGATTGCGCATTATAGTTATAGTTTGCTATAATTATCACTCACGATTAACATTGTTTATTAATTATGAGGGCTGACTTCGAGTTTGTATAATTAATCACGTTTGTATATGTATAATTCACCAGAATATACAAATACATATGTATAATATATAATTATCTAACAGATATATATATACATACAAATAGGTAAATTACCCGTGCTTCGCATGTGATTGAACTATTTTATTAAGTTATATATGATCATTCGGTAATATTCGTATTTTCGATACATACACTATATTGTCGAGAACATTTTATCTTAAGGTCAATCGTTCCTCTGAAATATTAAAGTTCTATTTTTTTTAATTTTCATTTTTATTATACAAAAATTATGAGTCATAAATAGATTTTAAGTATACAAAAGAACTGTAAGAAAATCTCCCTGCAAATAGTTGGTCAGATGCAATGAAATTTTTTAAATACGAAGAAGTTATAAAGAACAACAACAGAGGTTAAAAAAGAGACCGAAAAATGTCGTACAACAACAGTCCCAAGTGAGTGGAACATCACGTCCATACAAGATCATAATTAACTAAACTCAAATGGACGACGTTGGACTCATTTCTTATGAACCTCCATCGATATCATTTTTATTGTTGTATGTCATATTTTGTTATACAAAAATTATGAGTCATAGATAGATTTTAAGTATGAAAAAGAAGTGTAAGAAGATCTCTCTGGAAATAGTTGGTCAGATGTAATGAATTTTTTTAAATACCAAGAAGTTATAATGAACAATATCAGACGTTAGGGGTGAACATGACCGGGTTGGTTCGGGTTTTCAAATATCAAACCAAACTATTTATGTCGGGTTTTTGAATTTATAAATTAAAACAAACTAATAAAACTCGAGTTTTTCAACTTCGGATTTTTTCGGGTTTCTTGGGTTTTTTCAGATTTTCGAGTTTTTTCGATAAAATATTCATACAAACATATAATTTACTTGTACATCAAATATTTCTTTAGTCCTACCAAAATGCAACTATCTAAGTTATTTCTCAATAAAATAACAAAAAATATGGTATGATTAATCACACTAAAATATCCAACAAAAAATAATAATAAAATCATGTCAAAAATATTGCAAATTAATAAGTCATAATGAATTGATCATAATTTAAAGTACTAAATCATGCTAAAATAAGTTTAATAAGTATTAGTTACATGACTAAATATTAAAAGAAAGTAAAACTAGATCATGTATTTTAATTGTCTAAATCTATGTAAAACTAAAAAACAAATATTCAATAACATTGTCATTCATAGTGTTGAATTGATTTTTATTTAAATTTTATTATAATTACCAACATGTATGAACTATAATCTTTATTATATCATTAAGAATTCTAACTTCCAAATATGAAATAAATATATTAAAAGATAAAAACTATGCAAAAGTATAAGAGATATTTAAAAATTATATATATAATATTGAGTTGGTTTGATCTCGGGTTTTTTCTTAGTTTGAAACCAAACCAACCCAAATATAGTCGGATTTTTTTGCCAACACCAAATCAAGTCAAATCGAACCACTAGTCGAGATTTTTTTTATTTGACTTGATTTGCGATTTGGTTCGAATTTCGGTTCGATTTTGTACACCCCTATTAGACGTTATTAACATAGAGAGCAAAAACCTTCGAACAACAACGCTCCCATATAAAGTTGAACATCACATCTAAGATTATAATTAACTAAATTTAAATGGATTACCTTGGACCCCTTTCTTGTAAACCTCTCTGGCTGCTATTGACTTAACTACATTGTCTCACTGAGCAGTGTTTTCTCTTGGAGGAAAGAAAGATGCGCCAAATCATGAAGGCAATAAGGACTTTTTTAAGGACAAATGCCAAATGCAACGAAAGCATAAGATGCGGCCCATTAATCTATTTTTATTATTGTATGACATATTAATTATATGCTAAAAATAACCCTAAAATTGTTATTATCATGAATATTTTTTTTGTCTTTGTCTCAAAATAGCCATTACTATTTTTAAGATTTCATATCACCGGCCCCAACTTCTTTTGGACTAAACCATAGTTATTGTTATGCTTATAGTATGGAGTAACAAAAAATAATACACTTATTAACCAAGCAGTAGGTGACATCTGAATGTTCACAACGGGATGTACTAAACAAAATTTTTGACATATAACATATTAAATCTCATAACATAATATTGTAAGCTCTTAAACTCAAAAATATTAAAAAAAAATAATAAAGACGACCTTATTTTCCTAACAATCAAGAAGAAAATGGCATGTTGCTTATATATTATTCAAAAAAAAATCTTTCAGGTCGTTTACAAATTTACGATTTACAAATTAAATTGAAAGAAGCCAAAAGAAAGAGTTCTTACTTCTTCATAAAAAAAAACATTATCAACGAAATGAGTTATCCGTACAGAAAAATGATCTTTAACGATAATTAGTAGCTTAATTATCGGTAAATGTGTATTCAATTGGTACTATGTATAAATGTTCCTAAAGTCTATAGTAACATTGAATCCAATAATGACAATTAATTAATGTCGATAAAGACTATAGCACTCTTCGTGAACGCGCATATTCATTGCCGTTAAAACTTTTTGTTATAGTGTATTTTAGACATTTGTTAGTTTCACAAAAACTTGATCTCTTATATACCCCAAAAATAAGAAAAGAAGAAATATGACAAATTAGTGCAATGACATACAAAATGTTTGTACAAATATTTTAGGAATAGTCCAATGGCACACAAAATATTTGTAGCCAAGAAAAAACAATTAGAATAATACACTAACAGTGGCAAGTAAGAGAGAAATCATTTTGGTTCTTTTAACAAACTTCGTTATTGGTACCGTATTAATTATCAAATATTTGTTGATCTGTGCTATCAAATATAGCACACTCACAAACCCCAAAAAGTATATGAAGAAATCTTGTAGAAACGGACAAAAGAGAAGATAAATTTTCAATCATCTTCACTGAAATTTTGAACATAATTAAAAAAAAGTCACCAAAATTGCAAAAAGAAGATGAAAACTTTGAGAAATGAAACACACTTTATTATAAGAAGCTTAATAAATGTATTTGAATTCGAAAAAAAACATACAAATAATAATGAAAGAAATAAAGATTTGTTTACAAAAGAAACAAATATAATGAATTCAATCATCAACCATTTCAGTAGTGAATTGCATTGTAATTGAAATCAATTTTCTTTGTTTAATGAAAAACCTATAGAAATAGACAAACGAGAAGATCAATTTTGAATCATCCTTGTTGAAACTTTAACAGAGTGTCAGCAAAATAGGATTTTTTTTTGGTCATAGTTACATGAATCACTATGACTTATAGTAAAGATTAAGCTCCGTGAAAATTTTCAAGAATGAAACAAACTTCGTAAACATTTAATTAATGTATTTGAATTTGAAAACCCTATAGTGGAAAAAAAACAACTATAGTTGCACAAAATTCCTCAATTTATAAACAACATTAGTGTGAACAAATGTTAATTGTGCCTTATCAGAAAAGTCACGACTCTTTGAAAAAGTTACAACCCTTCAGAAATGTCACAACATTTCATAAAAATCACAATTTTTCATAAAAGTCGTATTTCTTCATAAAAGTCATAACTTTTTATAAAAGTCTCAACTTTTCTAAAATGTTACAACTTTTCATTAAAGTAGCAACTTATCATGAAAATTGAGAGCTAGTTTTTGAAATAAATAAATTTAAAAGGGAATGATAGTTGATGTTGGCGCCATGTAGGCGAGCTTAGGGTTCTCTTTTATATAAATATATAATATATGATCACCTTTCTCCCACTCTTTGACTCTCTCCTAAATTATAATTTTAGTTAGCCAATAGATGCATATTTTAAAATCATCAATAATTCCAGAATCATACTAATAATTCACGTCAAGTAATTCAAGTGTGTTTTAAATACTTCTTGTTTATAACTAGCAAAGTTCGAGGCCACTCCCTTGCAGCTTCAACTTGGTAATCTTGTCAAGTTGCTCTTCCATCAAGTGTCATGTGATTCTTCCAATCCCCAACAACTCCTTTTCTGAAAAATGCATTATTGTTGACAGAATAGAAGATTGATCCACTCTTATTAATCTCCAAATTCTTAAGCCTCCCCAAGCTACACTTGTTCAAAACTATCTCCAAATCCTCTTCATTACCAAGAGGATTTTTAAGAAACAAGGCTATTTTTGCCACATCTTTCTTAGGGTGTATCTTCAAGTCTTCATACCTCAAAAGAATTATTTTAAAGGCTTTTTTTTTCTTCTAATATTCAAGAACATGTTCAAAAAAAGGGTCCATACTGATGAACCCCATTGCAAAAGTGCTCCACAACTTCTTCTAAAGGAGAGAGATCTTCTAAACGCATATGACTATTGAAGAAATGCCACATAAAAATTAAGGTATCTTTAGGATTTCTTGTTATGTAGATAATCTTGCAATTATTTGAAACTCTATAAGGTAAATGAGTGAAATAATCTTAGAGAGGGCATGATGTATAGATCATGAGTTAGAGGTTTTGAATAACAATGCATGAGCTCTATCGTTGGAACATGAAAATGAGGATTATTCTTAACTACTAGGTCTTCTTCTTCCTCCTTATTACCTTGCATGATGGATACACATATGGCCTTGAGCCATGTTGAACCAGTAAGACAAACATTAGACATTAGAATGATAATATATACTCCTTCCGTTTAAAAAAGAATGACCTCCTTTTCTTTTTTAGCTGTTTCTAAAAGAATTACCTTTTTCATTTTTTGGTAACAACTTTCCACGTGGTATGTTTAAGAGCACAAGATTAAAAGACAATTTTGTACATTTGACATAACTTTAATTTAGGACCACATGATCAAAAGTTTTCTTTATTTTGTTAAACTCCATGTCAAGTCAAACTAGATCATTCTTTGTGAAACGGAAGAAGTGGTTTTTTTTAGTAGTCAATTAATATCTTGTTTCTGTTGATCATTGATGTGTAAAAATTTACATTTTAGACTTGACGAAAATATATAGTTGAAGAAATGTAGACCTAAGAGAGATTTTTCCACAAAAACATAAAATACTTGATGAGTAATGAGTTCATTAATTAAACTTAAATCAATTGATTAATTAATAAAAACTTGTTTTCATGGAAGATACCTAGACAATATCATTAGGTTCTGATTTGAAGGTTGCCTTGAAGACCATGGCTGCCTTTATAATTGGAAGAGTGGACCAAAAACTTTCCCATTGATATAGTTGAAAGTTATTCCAAAAATGATCAGTTTTGGGTAGTTTCTCTATAATTTTCTATTTCTTCATTATTAATCACAATTGGTGATAATTTTTTCTCACTCATTTTAGGAATGGAATTGATAAAAAAATAGTGGTACTTATATGGTTTAATTAGCCAAATGATACGTGTGTGATGTGTCTATATATAGAGGAAGGAAGAGTCATTTTTGAAAAATATTTACATAATCAAATTACTTTACGTAATTAATCAGGGATTTATAGTATTTATACTTTGTTTGGATCATTGTTACTCATTGTTTGATAATGTATTGTGTTATATTCTATTCAATTGTATGGTAGATATAATGTTTGACTAGACTATATTGTTTGTTTTTGTTTAATAACATTTTAATTGTTTGGATTGATTGTATCGTAAATGATTGTAATTTATAAATTTACTATAACATCCTTAATTATTCTAGGATAGGCGGTTTGAATAGATTTAAATAATTAAGGTAAAGGGTAAAATAGTATTTTTGAAATATTATGTAAAGATATAATTGGAAAAAGAAATTAAGTAACAATGGTAACACACTAAATCGGTTATTTCATAAAATAGAGATTTTAATTGTTACATAACAACGAAATTTAACAATATAATACAATACATTTTAAGTATCAACAAAAACAAACATTGTATATAGTAACAATACAATGCAATACAATGGGTGACAATGATCCAAACATAGTGTTAGTTCTCGTATAGTCTATATTATAGGTATCCAAAAAAATCATATAGTATAAATTTCTTCTTATACTTTGTAAAGAAATATTTGAAAAAATATACCATCACGAATTAATTTATGATTTAATTAGCAAGGAAAAATCAATTGAATGTAAAGTCATCCTAATTTTTGTCCATTCATAGCTCTATAATTTTTTTCAAAATCCACCAAATGTGGGGATTAGACATAGCTCAATCTGTGTATACATGACCGGGTTGGTTCAAATTTTCTAAATATCAAACCAAATTAAAAATTTTAAACCAAACCTACACAGTATTTGGTCAAGTCCTAATGTTAAAAGGATAAGAAATGAAACTTTTAGGATAAGAGTTTGTTAGCAACTTTGACATTAGACATTCTACATTTTTTTAGAGGAAGTCTGATCTATGAAAAATTAAATTTTTCTTTTGGTTTTTAGTGTTCTTTTTTTAGAGAAAATCTCTTCTCCGTATTTGTAAATTGTTTACGAAGAAGATGGTCAGTGATTCATATCATATAGTCGATATCAACTCGTTTAGATGAGATGTATAGGTGTCGTAATCTTATACTTATTTTTTATTTTAACTTTTATGGTCAAAAAGGAAATTAATCGGTTTTACACCCATATTCTAGTTTAAGTTTTCTAAAACGTGTTCATTTATTCATACTTTAACTTATTCTGTAAAATGGAATTAGGTTTATGTAAAATTCTTGTTATGTATATGGAGGAGTATTATTTTCCAAAACCTAGCTTGACAATCAGAAGTTTGTGTTCCTCTGTGTCTTTATATATATAGCACACAAAAATTTCGGCATTACTTTATAATAAAAACGAATAGTCGGATGCACAAAATATGATCTTACGATCAGACACGTCTCATCTCAAAAGAGAGGAGTCATGGACAAGCAAGGCAATATTAATTCAATTATAAGCTTATGCTTTATTGCATTGTTATTAAGCCTAATTACTTCCCAATCAACACTGGACAAATTTAAGCTTCACTAAAACAATGTAGAGGAATGATAATATATATTAAAGCTTCAGTATAATTACTTCCCAATCAACATTACAAAGGGTAAATTTTTATAGGTGTCAACTAGTAAGAGATATTTTAATACTCATATCTTACAAATAACTAAAGACTTGTGAAGATGGTTAAAAACATTTAACTTTATTATTTTCAACAACCTTGACTTATTATCCATTCGGATGAAGTAATAGAAAGCTTGTTAAAGTAGAAATTATAAGAAAGAAGTATTAAAAACACACTTAAATTTGACGTGAATTATTAGTTTCGTTCCCGAATTATTGACAGCTTTGAAAACACCTGTTGCTACTTGAGTAACTAAAACTTAAATACACATCCCATCTTTGCCACATGGGTGAAAAACATCAAGAATTTAAGGTTGTTTTCAACACACTCGTATAAGAATTTGAGACCAGTTGCTATGCTGTGTGGCAGATCGAGGTGTACTTAAGTTGAATTAGCCAAATAGATGGACGTTTTTAAAACTATCGATAATTCAAAAATGATACTAATAATTCACGTCAAGTAGTTCAAGTGTGTTTTAAAAACTTCTTGGGTACAAGTATCAGAGTTCAAGGCCACTCCCTTGAAGCTTCAATTTGGTAATCTTGTCAATTTGCTCTTCCATTTCAGGTTTCATGTAATTCTTCCAATCCCCAACAATCCCTTTTCTGAAAAATGCACTATTGTGAAAATTAGAGACGATTGATCCACTCTTATTAACCTCCAAGTTCTTAAGCCTCTCCAAGCTACACTTGTTCAAAACTATCTCCAAATCCTCTTCATTACCAAAAGGTTTTCCAAGAAACAAGGCTATTTTTGCCACCTCTTTCTTAGTGTCTATCTTCAAGTCCTCATACTTCAAGAATAATATTTTTTGAGGCTCTTTTTTACTTTCTTCCCAGTATTCAAGAACATGTTCAAAAAAAGGTCCATACAGATGTTCACCTTTGCAAAAGTGCTCCACAACTTCTTCTAAAGGTGAGAGATCTTCTAAACGGTTACGACTATTGATGAAATGCCACATAGAAATTAAGGTATCTTTAGGATTTCTTGTTATGTATATAATCTTGCAATTATTCGAATTTTTGATTGAATCTGGCAAAACTCTATAAGGTAAATGAGTGTGAAATAATCTTGGAGAGGGCATTGTGTATAGATCATGAGTTAGAGGTTTTGAATAATAATCCATGACCTCTATTGTTGGAACATAGAAATGAGGATTATCCTTAACTAAAAGGTCTTCTTCTTCTACCTCTTTATTACCAGCTTGCATGATGGATACACATATGGCCTTGAGCCATGTTGTACCTGCAAGACAAACATTAGACATTAGAATGAAAATATGTAGTTTTGTTTTTTTTTGTCGATCATTGATATGTAAAAAGTTACAATTTGGGCTTGACAAAAATATATATTTGATGAAAGGTAGACCTAAGAGATATATTTTTCCACAAGAACATAAAATACTTGATGAGTTCATTAATCAAATTGAAATCAATTGATTAATTAATAAAAACCTGTTTTCATGGAAGATGCCAAGAGAACATCATTAGGTTCTGATTTGAAGGTTGCCTTGAAGACCATGGCTGCCTTTAAAATGATAAGAGTGGACCAAAACCCTTCCCACTGATAAAGTCGAGAGTTATTCCAAAAATGATCAGTTTTGGGCAGTTTCTCTATAATCCTCTCTATTTCTTCATTATTATTCACAATTGGTGATGATTTTTTCTCACTCATTTTATGAATAGAATTAATAAAAATAGTGGTAGTTTAATTGGCCAAATGATATATGTGTGTCTATATATAGGGGAAGGAGGTTGGAATCATTTTAAAAAATATTTACACAAACTACTCAAACTTAATTAATCAGATGTATAACATCTTGCATTTTGTGATTCTAGCATACTCCATAATATATAGGATAACAAATAGATCATAGAGTATAATTATTCTTGGACTTTATAGAGAAAGATTTGAAAAAGATTTCCATCACGAGTTAATTTATGATTTAATTAGCAATGAAAATCGACTAAATGTAAAGTCATCCTAATTGTGTTCACCAGTAGCCCAATCTATGTATTAATAATAATGAAATTCTGCAGTTGGGTCATCCGCGCATTGCGGAGTTTCTAACACTAACACTAGTAAAATGAAATAAGAGCAATAAACTGTCTCCATTTCAAAACTCATACACTTGGCATTTACAGCTGGTTTTGCAGGGACACTAAGAAATTAACAGTAAAGAGGATAGAGATACCGTCTGTTTACAGCAGCAACAGCGACACCAAATCTAAGAGACTAAGCCATCTGATTCATTCAAATCGTAATACCTTGCTCCGAGAAGCCTCTTATCTCTGCTGCTTTGTACTCTTCATTTTCCCCGCCTAGTAGCCCTACTAAACATGTCTTTGATATTAAGAGAGTTGGTTTCCACTTTGATCTTTTTAGTCTGTCTTTTGTTCCTGGTAGTCTTCTCCTGACCTTCACTCTTTCCCTCCTGCTGATTTCGAAAGATAAAAAAGGAGTGATGCACAATGCAAACAAAAAACTGGAAAGTAAATAAATTAAGCAGAAATCTTATATTTATAATAGACAAGTTCATGGCTATCTGTTATGATTTGTTTACTGTTACGTCAGCATACTAAGCTGCTAATAGAGTATATCATTGCCGAAGCAATATAATATTTCTCTATTTAAAGTGTGCATCAACAATACACATACAAGTATCTTTTACAGACTAACTTTCTGGAAATCCTTCATCTGCCCAAGGAGGAAACAAATGGAAAAGAAGAATCCCTAACATCTAATGAGTTCTTGATGGACATGTAGGCTTCGCCCAAACATAAATTGCAACAAATATTGCAGTAGGCTAGGCCTGGGAGAGAAACATACGGTAAACGTAAGATTCAAATTTGATCTTTCTCGTGATGCATCAAGACAAGGTGATAATATTCTGGCACAGTTAATTATTCTTGTTCCTGGTGCCGTAGAAAATACATACTAATCACCAAGTCATGGGATTGGAACCAGTTTAATAGCGGTTGTCTTACCTGTTCGTGATTGAAGGACTCGAAACTATAATCCATTGGTGATGAATGCATTTCAGAATTTGATGCTTTTGTGTCCTCTTGCAAGTCTATGCTGTAATCATAATGATAACAATAAAATGGTTATTAAATTAGAGGAGAACTTAATGTTACATCTTCAAAACAATTAGAGAACTTGTAAAGAGAAGACATGGGATTTTTACCACATAGCCACCACTGATATAAAAATGTACTCTCAGTTAGCATCAAGAGGAAATTAGTTTAAGTAGGAACATAGAACCCGTAAACAAGACCAGCCGGGCCCCTTGTCTAAGCCAGAAAGTCCATCCGTGAATTGTAACTCATACAACAGCATATTGCAGGCTAGCCATAAAGCAGATGCATAAACATGGTAATACCGAATTTTACAATTGATTTTTAGTGTCGGAAACATATCCATCCAGATATCATCTTTATATATTGGTAATTCATCTTCAAATTTGTCACAAGAAAACTCATGGTATTATGAAAACAAGATGGAGGTTTACTCATTAGATAGTTAATTCAGAAGCGAAATGTGAACTAACATTATTCATAACACTGAGCATGTAATAAGAGAATAGGTCCTGAAAGTTGTTGCCTGCATCGACTCACATTGCATTTTTGTCTTTTAAGATAGTGTGTAAAAGCATAACCTCTATCTAAGGATACCCAGAATAACTTAAAAACAATCAGAAAAAAACTCAGCCATTTATCTGTTAAAGGATATACCTTAATTTGCTGCAGAGGAGCTTCAACCAAGGCTCTTCCTTCAAGTACTCTCCAACTATAGATACTGCATCAGTTACTGTTTAATTCAAAAAGCATTAATCAGTATAATCTTTTAGCATTCATATGGACGTGACAGCAAATCACATATTTAAGATGATAAGTGCGCTGAATTGGCCAAACAAACTTGTTTCCTGGTTCTTGAAACCAAGGATACATTAAAGATACTTGAAGAGTTTCTCAAACAAAGCACGATGCGAAAAATGTCTTTGAAGGACCATAATTGGCTATGAGAATCATAATCTTTAAGGGTAAAAAGTTTAACAAACACATTATTCAAAAGGAGACGTACATATTTCTTTCTTATCTCGAGCAGCATAGTTCTTATCCAGTGTCAACAATGTCTTCTTCAATTGTATTACCTACAAATATGTTAAAAGTTAAAATAGAGACATGAACATAATGAAAATTGTGTCTGACAGACTACTCAATCTGTAAGATGGATAGACCATTGTAAACAGAGAAGAATTTACAAGACGCTACCAAAATATAAAGAACACCTCAAAATAGAAGAGATTATTAGTTCCTTTTATGTAAGACTCTGGTTGGTTTCCCTTTGGCCTTTGGAAATAAATGACTTAGTTATTTTACACCCAAGTTGCATCATTTCCATTTGAAAAAGTCCAAGTACGCGCTAAATGATAACGCATGCACTATGGTGCAAAGCTGTTTCTCTTAGTTATTGTAAGTTGTTACTGAAGCCTAGTGACAGGGCAGGTAGAAAGTTATACCATTGCAAATAATTAAGTACACTTACACTAAAGTGGATCAGAGTGGCAGCCAGATCATGTGGAAGCAAATTTCTTATATAACTATGTGGACTTATCATTGGACCATCTTCAGAACTCAATGTAGACATAACCAACGGGAGATCCATCTACAAGCTTTACTATTACAGGCCATTAACTGGAACAAGTTATAAGTGGATTTTCATACTTTTTACAGATTGGAAAGATCAGATCCCGGAGAGTCAATCACAAGAACTCTTGAACTTCTAATTTCCAAAAAGTTATGATTTTTACTCTGAATGCTAGAACATGATCATCACAGCACATTGTTTCAGAGCAAAAAAAACCACCCAATACATGGGCTTGTGAGGGATGAAGTCTGACCTTCAAGCATAACCACTTTAGCACCTTCTCATCATTAAGCCTGAAAAACTTTGTCATTCCTACATCTGTGGACAAAAAACAAGGGAGAGGGATGGACATCAATATTAAGAATTAATTAACTTGGATTAGACATTCACCACCAACCCAAAAGTAAATGTTATAGTTTCAAATGTTTTATGAATTACATCATGTTAGATTTCAATACCATTTTCATATGTTTTTCTTTACACTTTATTTGCCAAACAACTTTAAGTCAGATACATGGATAATATATCTATTGAATACTCCATAAAATATGAGATGTCATGCCATATATCGTAATACGACCAAAAAGAAAACTGGAGATAGGATGACAGTATATTATCACCTTTGACATCACAAACCACTTGCATGCAGTTCTCAGCAATGGAAGAAAGATGCTGATATCCAGGATAGCCTACAACATAAATGATTTCATCCACTTGCCTAAACTTTCCTGGATCATCATTTTTCTGCATTTATCACAATAAACAAAAGAGCAATTAGAAACCAGCTTGTCAAGTGGCAGACAGTTGTCTCTTGCAAATGGTGCATTCAGCAAAGGAAACTCAACCAGCCAAAAGCGAAAGAAGATATCTGAATCTTACGTAGTCATTCAGAAGAAAGAGAGTAATAGAGTCACCTATATTGTAGACAGTTCTTACAGTCAAATTAAAGTAGTTTACAAGCTATTCCTTTTCTCAATAAATAATATATAAAGCAACAATGCATGTGAAATACACACTTTCAAGTATTACACTTCTCTACTATAAACTTTTTGCTAGTAGTTTGTTTATATAGGAAACTTAAGAGAGATAAATCACTCAGAAGTTAGAAATTAATACCTTCATTCTTGCTTCATCAAAAATAGGCAACAGGACAAAAACTGGATCGACTGGAGTTGCAGTATACAAACGACCATCTGTTTTGAGAAATAAATGAGTACAGAAGAACTACCAAGAAAGCACTAACAATTCCTCTAGAAATCATGACTAATAGCATTGACGGATTCGAAGAGTAGAAGATATAACCAACAGGCTTCTCTAGAAAGAGTACAAGAGGATAAATATAAGATAATGAAAGGCAAATTGAGATGTTGAAGATATATTTAATAAAATAAAACTGTGCTCTCTAACCACTTAAACTTTAAGATGAGATGGTTACACACTTATCATTCGTAAACATATAGTATTCCTGTAAACTATTACCTTGAAGAGATTGATTCGTCAAGACAAATTATGAACCACGAGGGCAAGTACGGATTTATCAAATTTTTTTAGACCAAGCTCGGACAAATGTTTACCTTCACATACATAATCCCCAAGGAACCAAGACCCATAAGATTGCTTGAACCAGTGAAGTTCTTGAAGAGATTCATCAACACAAAGGTAACATGTTGCATTTCCTGTCACAAAAAGAATTTTTTAAAAAATTATATCAATGCTACTGGACTATTAATACAATCATAGTGGCAAACCAGTTCCCACAAGATAGTATGGCAATCAGCAAGAGGTTAGAGTGGTTAACAAAAAATGACCTATAGCAATTTCGATACATCCACAAAAACAATATCTCAAGCCACTGCCATGAAAGCATTATAACCATAGGAAAAAAGTAAACAAAAATACACATAACTGAAGACATCTCAAACAAGCAGCTGCATGAAAAGTGCAGGGATTTACCAGATTTTGGATGTCGGAGCGATAAAAGCTGCTCTACCTTGTTCCCATCCTTAGAAGGCTCTGCAATGTCAAAGTGAGCTTGATATTGCATTCAAGTGTGTATAGAAGATTCTAGAGCTGTATCTAAGAGATTGACATATGATTGTTCCCATGTACCAGCAACACAGCAAGAGATGTCGAGATGATTTCTTTCTTTCTTTTTTCGAAAAGACTTATTTATTTCCATAATCAAGATTCGACTATATGATAAGTGTATCAGTTTAACGACATATCTGGAAGAGCCAACAAGTCTTGAAATCTTCAAATCCATCTCCATCCTTGGGGATGAAGCTTACATGTAGCTACTGAACCTTAAGCAGCAGTAACATACATGCTTGAGACACTCCTTCAGATTCCAAATGGTTGAAAATACTCAAAGAATTGAAATATCGCACACATAATGAACTCAATTTGCCCACCAAATTACAGGCAAAGCAGATTTCCTGTGGTGTAATTATTCAATCAAGAATCATTGTGCCCAATTGAAAGTTTCTTCCTTTTTTGCTAACAAAACATAATGAAGGTGTTATAAACATAATACTATGTCTCTAATCTCAAAAGACAAACAGCAGTAAGAAAAAAGACACAAACTCAAGCCAAGAGATATAAATGAACACTCACAAACAAAAAAAGAACCATATACCCAATTGAAAGTTTCTTCCTTTTCTGCTAATAAAACCTAATGAAGGTGTAATCAACATAAACTAGAGGACAAACACAAAAAAAAAATGTCTAGTAAAGGAAGTACCTTTTGCAATAAGAACACGAGCTTCATCGAGACCTTCCCACCAAGCCATGGAACTCTTTCTGACACAAGAAAAACCTCTAGGAGGAGAACAATTCTGCTAATCAGTTTTTGAAAAACACAATAATACAGTGAGATTAGTAAAGATACAAAGCATTAGAAACTACAAGAAGAGATAAATGGGTGTAGGGTTTTTGAAGGAAAGAATGGAACTTTACCACTGGATGGAAGAAGAAAGGAGCAATTTTGCAGAATAGCGTTGAAGAAGAAGAAGAGATTTTGCAGAAATTTGGAATTGGCGCCGAAATTAGTGGTGCCAATGTCAAGTCCATTCCTCACCCTTGTAAAGGGTACCATTCTAATAAAAAGTATTTTCTTTTTAAACGTTAGAATATATTCTCACGAGTCATGTAGTTATTAGTAATACAGAAAAATAATTGTATGTGTATTATTTATCAATTTAAAACATTATCGATATTAATTTTAACATATTAATAATTTTTTCATAATGAACAACCAAAAGATCCCTAGTATTTAGAGTTGGATTCAAAGAGCTAATGAAGATACTACTTTAGTCTTTTCAGTGAATCTTTCTCTAAGAATGGAGCGAACCAAGTTAATTTATACGAGAGTTAGGAATAAAAATCAACAACTAACTTACTGCTCCCAAAGACGTGGAACACTGATTCTCTAGTCAAGACGTGGGGGTGCTAGAAAACCAAACAAATTTTCAATGTGTAAGCTTGCTATGCTATTTGGTAATATACCATTCTTTTATTGGTTTGATCTTTCTTTCTACAACAGATAATGAAAAGAATTCACAATTTAACCTCAACAATGAATTTGATTTCATGATACAATAATTCCATACAATTTAACCGCGACATTAAATTTAATCTCATGATATAATAACCCCGTACAATTTAACTTTGACTGTGAATTTGATCTCATGATACAATGATTCCGTATGAAACGATATGAACATTTGATCTAACTCAACCACTAAAATGGACAATATAAAATGAGGGTAAATGAACAATATAAAATGAGGGTCAGACATCAATGGTTGAATCTGCCTCCAACTCATTTTACTGCATCTCAACAAAACAAAACTTTACAGAAACACACTAACATTTTACTAGTGTTAGTGTAAAGGATTTTAAAATCTGCACTGCTCTTTCAATGGATAGAAGATTATGTTGGCTTTGTTCTTCACTTTTTGGGTCCCTTGTCGCGGTAAATCCCCTCTTCTTTAGCAATTTAAGACGTATACACCTTAGTAAGCTCGTTCTGGTGGAATCTGGAGCAACTCACGGATCCCTTCACAAACCTGCATTCGAGTTTTTTAAATTAAATATTAATCAAAGTGTAATTTAATCAAGAGCATAAAAGAAAGGTCCGGTTTATCTCTCACACGACTTCATATTATGTGAACAATTGAAACACATACCATCTTGATCTGGGCCTTAATTGATGCAACTAGACGTGTATATTCCTCTATTTGCCTGCACATTTGATTGCAAAAGATCTACATTTAGTTTAAGGCAAGAAACATGGCTCAGAAGAATATCTTTTGAACTGTTGAACAGAGTGTTTCCACTCAAAACATGGAAAAATGAAAGAAAACATGCGGAGAAGGTTTTTCCTCTTTTTTGAATGTGAAAGGTTCAAAAACGCACCCATCATTCACTTCCATCCACTCCAGAAAAAAAACAAGAGCTGAACTAGTTGGTTCCAATACCAAGAAACTTAAAGTGAAAATAGAGAAGGGGGAGCAAAATAAGCACAAACATCTAAGCTGATTAGACATTAATATTCACATGCTCATATTCGATCTTCCTATCTTTTAATTAATAGCAGAGTCTAATTAAAGTTTATCCAAACTGGAAAACAAAAAACATGCTTGAGCAGAATAATTTGGACTTGTTAGTTGAGTTATGCTGTCATTGGATCGTAATTAAGGTGGTAGTTCAGGAGATTTTAGCTTTACCAGTACTATACAAATCTCTATTAGAGTAGCCAATTTTTGCATAAACAAGATTTTTAGCTTTTCCTTCACAACTTCACGGCTTGAGTTTTTTGAGAACTTTTATGACTCTGAATTGGTGCATATTCCTCCACCTAGCCAGACTCAGTCCATTGCATGGAAAATGGCGTGATGGCTATTAAAATATGCTACTAACTACATGCCTTTGACACTGGCGTACCTTTTCATCTCCATTTATTCAAGTGCCTGACTTACCAGTAACTAGATTTATGAAACACATCCTATCTCTTCTGATTAGCAAGAAAGAGATCCCAACTCTACATCCTATTGAATGCTCCTTGAGGTGTTTGATCTACTTTTAAGATGGCCAATTTACTGAATGCTATATTTATCATTGCACTTATTTTCCAAATCTTAAGAACAGAAGATGACTTTAGTTAATTTAAGTCCTCAAATGGAAATAAGACACTACTGATAGAAGCAAAGATTAGTAATACCTGGCTAGTTTCTCCTCCCTTGCTGATATATAATTTAGAGCTTCTGACCAAGTAAACTCCACATGAAATCCAAGTCCAACATCAACAAATATGCGTGTTGTATCTGGGCTGTCAGATCAACTCAGGAAGAAATATCAATATGCAGTGGATGAAAATACCGAGGTATTTGAAATCATCAAGATACAGATTTTCAATTGTAAATGAAAAAAAAGAAGCAAAAAGTATCGATACATATTCAAAAAAAAGTAGCCATCACTTAACTATTATATATTCAATAATTTTCTACAAACATTTAAATAAAGATTAGAAAGACTTACACATCAGCTTGCAGGTATACTTCAGAGCCAATATTAACCAATGTCTTCAGATTAGTTACATTGTTCTTCTCCAAATTCTCTATATTACGTCTTAAATCAGAGCTAAGAAAAGATATGGTTAAGAAAACTATGTAGACCTCATTCCAACGTCAATTTCCATATAAGTAATTAAATAATTCATCAACTCACATGCCTGCAAGTGCAAACTACTACTAAAAGTCTGAAAGACTGAAAAAATGATCTAACTATATGTTGGTAATGTAACAATATAATAACATGAAAAGGATACAAAATCTTTTGTTGTTCAAAAACCTTGTCCCTGTAGCCATAAAGTGGAACGCAACAAGATGAAACAAAGTTAGGCCACCATAAGATTTTGTGCAGAAAATCTTATTACATCTTTTTTCATACATAGGTAACTTTAGCAATGTTGGGTGTAAATCATTCCATTACTTCCTATGCAATGTTTGGAAGTCCCCGTTCTTCACACATATAAATGTTAAAATTTATGTGTATGACAATGCGGATTTAAGCCCCATTTCGATGACCAAAAAATAACCAGGACATGAATACATTTAGTTAGTTTTTATTCCACTACACAATTGGACCATTAATACAACATGGCAAATAAGTTTTGAAAGAACATTCTTAGAACCACCAAAACGAGAATATTCTTGAAAAGACCTTTTATCTAAAGGTCATCAAAGATCCATTCCCATTAATAAGACAAGTGTTTAGTTGAAAAACATCTTTCTCATTCAAGGAAAAGGGTTGAACAGTAAATGAGATAAGAAGTCCCCAAAACAAATAAATGTATATGTAATAGAAAACGAATTCAGGAAAACTGAAGTGAATGATATATTTATTACTACCGTTCAGCAATTGCATGAACAAGATCTGGTTTCAGACGGCGATCAATAAACTCCTCAAATCTCCTTACTTTTTCTTGTTTAATAGTGTCCATCGCAATCCTATTACAAGATAAAATCATGTTAGAAAAAACTTAACCATCATATCAAAGATAAGACTACAAGAAACTAAGACGTGAGATGACTCCAGCATCCGAAGACAGTGAAAAGTCCCTGTTAGAACCCTAATTTCCACATAGATTAGAGTTTAAAGTGCCATGTCATATGATCATAGATTTTACGCCATTTGGCATTCTTATCATGGCCTTCTTTCACTAAGCGAGAACCTTTTCCAATTGAGGATCTATCTATATTAAGTTTTTTTTTCCCGCAGGTATTAATGCTATAATCTTCCTAAAATCTGAATGAAGAAAATGACACGCCTTGCACAACATCAAAAAATAGGTGATATAATAATTTATCGTATCATTTTCTACAAGTAAAGAAAGGAAATAATAAAATCACCCCTTAACTTAGATAAAATGACAACAAACGTAAAGAATGTACTTCAACACTTAATTTATTGGCAAATTATTTCAACTTTACATACTACATATAGATGGATTTGATCAAAGCAAAACTTGTGAAAAGACACTATCTCAAGAATGTAGCTTCAGATGTCATGACTATTGGTTTCAAGTAACATGTCGATTAGAATCTCTTCTTCTCTTTCTTTTACCTAGTTGGTTTGGTTAAAAGCCCTACCACACTCCACCCAATGAACCACCAATATTAGCTTAACTTCTTTTCTAATGGTCAGTATTTCCGAGTACGGACATACAGGGGCGTAAATGATTAACTAATCTTCAGTTGTGTATTCATCCTTTCTATTTGTTAATTTTCTTTGTAATGCTACATAGGGCATTACTTTGCTAAACCAAATATGGATAATTTATGATATCACACACCATTATTGCAATCCCCAAGCCTTGAGAGACTCTCGAAGTACTCGTACCTCCATTGTATAAAGTATTTATCTTTCTGCTAATACTTCACCAAAAGAGGGAAAAATTTTACTCAGCACCAATAGTAGTGCTGCCTCAATAGCAATGTAATGAGAATATAAGAATAAGCCATTGTTACCTTTGTCCAAATTGAAGCTTCGCAGCAAAATCTGAGCTTTTTGCGATTGTCACCCTTCCACAGAGTAATTGGTTTCTGCAGTCAAAAATCAAATTTTTGCTTCTCATAAAGAGAAGAGGAGCCCTAAGGCGTTGCAATTTGGTGCAGTGAAAGTCTAAAATACCCTTAGAGAAACATAAATTTTCCTTTTGAACCATTTGTATATAAATAGGGTTTAGGGTTTAAAGAGTTTATCACTGTGTTAAGCTACTTTTGTCACAAACCAGGTGGAATCAATCAACCAAATGCTTGTCTGAATATTTTTTCCATGTGGGTTTCGTCAATAAGGTTAGCTTCTTGCAGAAAATTTTTCAAGAACATTCAATTTATTCGATTGAAATCAGCTTCTTCAGTAGCTCAATTAAGTCCATATTTGTCAGATTCTAGTTCTGATGAACAAATTGGAAATACCCACATGAAAAATAATGAGTTAAGTAACAATACGATTGAGGTGAACTCGTATTGGGTTACTGAAATGCTTAATAGTTTAAGGGAAGAGCCTAATGATGCTTTATCATTTTTTCGTCAGTTGAAAGAAAGTGGGTTTAAACATGATATTCAGACTTATATGGCTATGATTAGGACATTTTGTTATTGGGGTATGGATATGAAGTTGGATTCTTTGTTTTTAGAGGTTATAAATTTGGGAAAGAAGGGGTTGGGTTTTGAAGTTTCTGACTTGTTTGAGGAATTGGTGGAGGGGTTGAATGCTGAGGGCCCCAATTCGTTGGTTCGGGCTTTAGATGGATTGGTTAAGGCTTATGCTAGTTTAAGGATGTTTGATGAAGCTATTGATGTTTTGTTCCAGACAAAAAGGTGTGGTTTTGGATTGAGTGTGTTGTCGTGTAATTATCTCATGAATAGGCTTGTTGAGTATGGGAAAGTAGATATGGCTGTGGCGGTTTATAAACAGTTGAAGAGGATTTCGGTGAGTCCAAATGTGTATACTTATGGAATTGTGATCAAGGCGTTATGTAGAAAAGGCAATTTTGAAGAAGCAGTTGGTGTATTTGAGGAGATGGAGAAAGCCGGTGAAACTCCTAATGAGTTTACTTATTCTACTTACATTGAAGGGCTTTGCTCGTATGGTAGATCAGACTTGGGCTATGACGTATTGCGGGCGTGGAAAGGGGTAAATTTACCCCTTGATGTCTATGCCTACACTGCTGTAATTCGTGGGTTTGTTAATGAGAAGAAGCTGCAAGAGGCAGAAATGGTGCTGCTTGACATGGAGGAGCAAGGAATGGTCCCTGATGCCGTTTCTTATGGGGCTGTAATTAATGGATACTGCACTGCAGGGAACATTTCTAAAGCTCTGGCTTTCCATGACAAGATGGAAACAAGGGGTATCAGAAGTAATTGTGTGATTTTTAGCTTAATTCTTCAGTGCTTGTGCAAAAATGGCAAGGCATGTGATGCCGTTGAACAGTTCAGTAGTTTTAAGAAGAAAGGTATTTTTCTTGATGAGGTGGCTTATAATGGTGTAATTGATGCTTTGTGCAAACTCGGTAGGTTTGAAGAGGCTGAGAAGTTGCTCGATGAGATGAAGGATAAGAGGATGACACCTGACATCGTGCATTACACTACTTTAATAAATGGCTATTGCCTCCATGGACAAATTTTAGATGCGATGGGTTTATTTGATGAAATGAAACAAAAAGGCTTGAAACCTGACATTATTACTTATAATGTGCTTGCTGGTGGATTTTCTAGAAATGGCCTTGTTAAAGAGGCACTTCACCTTTTGGACCATATGAAAGGACAAGGCTTGATGCCAACCACTGTCACACATAATGTGATTATTGAGGGCTTATGTATTGGAGGTTATGGGGAAGAGGCTGAATTATTTTTCGATAGTTTGGAAAATAAATCCGCAGAAAATTATGCTGCCATGGTGAATGGGTATTGTGAATTAGGCAATACCAAAGATGCTTTTGAGCTTTTCGTTAGACTATCAAAACAAGGTGCTTTAATTAAAAGGAAATCTCGTTTGAAGCTTCTAAGTAGCCTATGCCTTGAAGGAGAATATGGAAAAGCGTTAAAGTTGTTCGAGATAGTGTTGTCATTAGGTGATGGCACTTGCAAAATAATGTGTAACAAACTAATAGCTTCCTTATGTAGTGCTGGAGATATGAAAAGGGCCAGGTGGGTGTTTGATAATCTGGTTTGGAGAGGATTTACACCTGACGTGGTCATTTATACCATGATGTTAAATGGTTATTGCAGGGTAAATCGCTTGCAGGAAGCCCTTTATCTTTTCGATGATATGAAGAAAAGGGGTATTTCTCCTGATGTTATCACTTATACAGTTATGCTTGATGGCTATTCTAAGAATTTAAAGAGAGATCGATTGTCATCAGATACAAGGAGGAATGGCAGAGAAAGAAAGGATACAGGGTCAGTTTTTTGGACTGAAATGAACGGGATGGAATTAACTGCTGATGTCATTTGTTACACTGTTTTGATTGATAGTCACTGTAAATCAGACAACATTGATGATGCTATTCACCTTTTCACTGAAATGATTGATAGAGGTTTAGAACCTGATAGTGTGACATACACAGCTCTAATATGTGGCTATTGTAAGCAAGGACATGTTGAGATGGCTAAAGAACTTGTGAATGATATGTGGAGAAAGGGAATACAACCAGATAGCCATACCATCTCAGCACTACATCATGGAATCATAAAGGCCAAAAAGTTGCACCTTAGGCATGACAATAACTCAGCCCAAAATCGGAGGTATGTTCAACACATTACATTTAGTAGAATCGTTGTTAGTTGGTCATTTCCTGCAATATCTCCTTTGCTCTTTTTGTTTTTTTTTTTGTGTGTGTGTGTTTTGGTATCATGCAACAGTTTAAATTCAGCAGTATGAAGCCTTGTTTTGGGCCTAACTGTGGCTTGACAATTATCTGTTTTGATCTTAAGACTGCAGGTTATCTAGTGTAGTTTTGGCAAGGCACAAGTTTGTTGCATGGTAGGGGGTCTTTGTGCTTAAGTGGTTCTGTTTCTCCATTTTTGTGTTGAACAATCACCAAATCATTATTTTGTGCAGGAGATGATAAATATTCATTTGAATGTGAAGAGCACATACTTTGGTAATACTGGAAAGAGAAGAGTTGGTGCTCCTGATGTAACTAAGCCAGCAGCGGTCATCATGAGGCCTGAAAATCAGGTATAAGAATTCAACATACATCTTTGCAGATGAATTCAGATGGCCACATGGCTCTGTCTCATCTATATTTAGTGCTCTTCCGAATGTAACAAGTCTTTTTTTTCTTTGCCATTTTGATGTTCAAAATGGAGATCAAAGACTGCACTTGTGTGATCATTCATATTGCCTGCCTCCTCTGTGCTACTGTTTTTGACCATCTTTGATCTTGAATTTCCCCTTTCCTATTTCAGAAATGAGAAAGAAATTTTGATAGGTATAGGGCTTGTCAGTACATTCAAGATTAAGTTAATAGGTCCAACGAGAAGATAAAAAAGGGTTCAACTTGGATTAAACGTGAACCTTATTATATTAACTCAGACCTATAGTGTGAAGAGCTTATGGGGTTGTGATTTGTGAATGCTAAAATAAGAACTGACATAACAGTAGATTCTATAAAAGGGAAATATTCTTCAAAGTCTAAGTAATCAAACATTTCACATCTTATGACTGACAGTTTACTTGAAAAAAGGTTTGCCTCTTGTTCCCAGCTTGTTTTGAGGTCGTAAGTTTTGTTTTCTAGTAGGGAAGATGTCCTTTGAGTTGGCTTGGATTTTGCTGGGATTGTGGTAGAAGATGAAATCGTCAGATATAACAGTTACTTTATTACTTAAGTTCTATGTTGCTCAGACTCTTCAATTTTCTTGCTACTGATATGGGTGTGGGATCCACACAGATTCAGTCAACCTAACTTGGGTACTTTGACTACACATATGCCTAGAAGCATATTTCAGATTAGGCATTTGGTTAGATTTTGGGTTTATGTCATACACTTATTCATAGGAAGTACTGCAAAAACTTTGCTATATATGAGATAACTATGAATTAAAAAGTATCATACACATTCACGTAAGAATGTACTTCTTGCATATAATATGACATTTGAATTAAGCAACATCAAGATAATCTCAGAGCAACTCAGCGACTATGTTTGGGTCTAGAATTGTGAACTGTCAGGTGTACCAAAATATTTGTCACCTTTGAGTTTAATTCATCTTCCCGCTGTGCTTTGGTAGTAACAACTGTTTCTCAAAACTGTACATTCCATATTCCTTCTTCTAAGTGGCTATAAGATCTTTTAGTTTACTCTTCTGTTGGAGTTCCTTTCTGATTGTATTATTTGCTTCCAAATGGATGCAGACGTTTGATGCTGTTGATGGAAAGCAAGAAAGACCAACATTCCTCTGTCCACTTGATCATGGTGATTATTCCCCTCCTTGACCATTTATATATTCATAGATTATTCTCTCTGTAAGCTTGGTTATGCTAACTGCGATGATTCTATTTGATTTTCTTTCGATGATTCTACTAATAAGATGTCTTGGCTTTCACAATTTGCAGATGTGATGGACTTGCATGAGCAGTATGTCTGTTTTCTAGTAATCCTTTTTCCTGCCCTGGGAAGATTTCCGACTTACAGATTTCGTGTTTTATGTGAACAGTTTGAAGCCTTGGCTTTTGGGACCACTGCTATGTGTGGATAAGATACCTTCTGGTTCTGGGTTATATCAACTGTTCCTTTCTACTGCATTACCTGACGACAGTATGTAACTCTTCAGTATATTTATTCGGTAGGCAATGGAACATATAATTCCAAGAATCCTCAAAGCAGAAATGGATTCTTGTTTTATCTAACGAAGAGTCCAGAGAAGTCTTTGCTTTAAACTAACATCGGGAGACAAGGTTAGGCACTGGCAACGCAGCATCTATTCCAGGCACTAAGCCAACAGGGGGTGCTAACCGATCACCCAACCCACAGCAGATGCCCAAGTGTTGGAGTTCCAGCGAATGAGGGAATACTCTCTCATTCCTAGACACCTCGTCTATGTATTGCATCTCCCTCAATGGCTAAGAAGGTAGGTGCACCGTGATATGATAAGGTTGGCACACGAATGTTATATTGTATACTACTATTATATTTTTTGTTATAGATGTTGCATTTTTAATCATCTTTTTTAGTCAGGTAGTTGGTGTATTTATGTTATTTTTTTTCTATCAATATTTATGATTTGTTTTTTCTCCCCATTTTTGCAGGGCATTGATGCATGGAACGTTTACATCTTCTGATCTTTCATAAATGCGAGTGTTTAGTTAGTGAATCTTACAGTTTCAGAATGCATTAAGGATAGTAGATTGAATAGTTGGATTAAATGACACAGTAAACTCTTATAGTCCAATGATGTAATTTTACCATATTTTTATTACTCTAATAATATAACATTTGATATGTTCTACCCATCTCTTTAATTGAAAGTATAGAGCAAGCTTAAACGAGTTGCAGAATATCACAAGTGATATCACCAGGCATTCAACTGATACATCATATATAAGTTTCTTGATCTTCCAACGGCATCAGCTGATAAAAGTCCTTCAAATCTGTAAAGGAAATAAGTAAAGTAGTTGCATAAAAAGATCAAATCATTTAAGAAAATCTCAACTTCACAGCACAACTGATGCTATTTCAGGACACAGTGGGAGTATTCTCTGTGATGGACAAAACAAGATAAACGAGATTGAGATGATTTAGATATGTAAAGAGGAGATGCACGATTGAGGAGAGCTGATTAGCAAAAGATGACACATTTAAAGCTTACCGAGGACATAATCTTAGAGAACAAGGTTAGTGGGTTGATATTTTTTGCTCAATATTATTTTTATTACTCTTCTCTGTTATCTTACTTGCATGACTTCTTCATTAATGTATTTCATTCAAAACTGCTTCCAAATGCTTTACAAAACGATTTTTGTTACATGACTTCTTCTCAAAATGGAAGGAGTACTTAACAAGCTAGTTTATAAAAACAAACATCTTGAAACTTCAGTTGCATTGGATCAACAACATACCTGATAAGTAATTCCAGACCGAGTGTTGGAGCATTGCTGATCTGTCCTGTGGATTATGACCTCAAAATCAGAAAATCCCATGTCTTCAACTTGCATTTCCTTGATGACCATTGCAGAGTCGGCGAGTGATTCTTTGCATGACTTTACCTCAATGGATTTCAGGGAAGACATGTATCCGAAGCAAGAAGGGATCACCTCAAGATATGGACATCTTATCAATACCAAGTGTTCAAGGTATGGAAAAGCATCATCTGAGACATCCCATTCTGAAAAAGATAGATTTTCTAGTTTCAAGAATTTGAGTTTGCTGAACTGCTCATCCTTCACTTTCCATGTATTGGAACAAATGGTAACTCCTAGCAGTTTGAGTACCTCGAGAGTTGAAAGAGTTGTGACTTCATTTAGATTTATGTAAAAATTGGACAGTGTCAATTTCTTGAGGTGTGACGGGAGCTTCAGCTTATCGACTGATGTCAATGCAGCACCAGAAGAAATCTTGAGAATTTCGAGCATTGCAAGATTGTTAAATGCAGTAAATGAGTCATCAAATGCAGAAACTTCACATGTCAGTCTCTGAAGATTTGGTGTCTTTGCCAATATCTTATCAGCACTTCCTGCACAAGAAAAATATACTGAAGAAAGAGTTTGCAAATCTTCCATTTTCGAAGGGCTTACTAAGAATTCCTGTTCATTCTGCATAGAGAAAAATGCTTGGTCATTTATTTGCAGATGCCGCAACTTAATCATCTTCCCAATTGTTTCCGGTAATGATATCCGTCCTCTAGTTCCTTGAACTATCAAAGTTTCAAGGTTCCAAAGATTGGCTGGGAGGGATAGTGTATCATTGTCGGTCCGAAAAGTAACATACCTCAAAAGGCTCAGTTCTTGTGGGAAAGAATCAATGACTGTGAATTCAAAATCTAACACCCTCAGAAACTTGAACCTCTTAAGAATGACTGATGCGTGGTCTATTAAAGAGAATGCAGTTCTTCTGGACTCCCTGAACTGGAAAGATTTCAAATTGGAGAAACACAAACACCATTTTGCAATATCATCACACTGAGAATGAAGAGATAAGCGACGTGAAGTATTGCATTTTGGAGGGAAGAATTGAGTAGGATCCGAACCTGCATCCCTGTTTACGGAGAAATATATATGATCAGATGAAGCCTTAAAGATGATAAGATAGAAAGAAAAAGGCATATTAGAGGTTTTGATTACCCATTTATCCTTTGTATAATGTTCTCCAACTTGGCTTTCTTCCTGCAAAATTCATGCACCAGGTCATGAATGCGACATGCCTTGATCCTTCCATCAAAACTCCTTTTTTTAACCATCACAAGGTTTCTACCAACAAGATTCTCCAAGTGATTTTCTGCAATTTCCTCCAGTGTCTTCCCTGCATGAGGTTTTATGAAGCCTTCCGCTATCCACAACCATGTTAACTTTGAGACTTGAATCTCTCTATCCTCTGGGAATAGTCCCAAATACAGAAAGCAAGGTTTCAAATAGGGTGGTAAATGCTGATAACTCAGATCAAGAGTGCCCTCCATCTGATCCTGAATGTTTGGACCTAAATTTGTTGCTACTTGTTCCCAACAATGTTTGTCCTTCTTCATTCTTGTGAGGATACCAGCTACCAGAATAATTGAAAGAGGAAGCCCTCCGCACTTTCTTACTATTTCTTGTCCTATATCTCTTGGGATAAGAGGACAACTTTCGTTGTTGAACACCTTTTTGTTTAATAACATCCAACTTTCATCATTATTGAGAGATCGAAGCTTATGGGGATCACTATCATGTTTAGCATGAGAAGCAACTTCATAATGCCGAGTTGTCAGAATAATTCTACTTCCGTTGTTATCTTCAGGGAAGCACAACTTTAGATCATCCCATGCACTAGTTTCCCAAACATCATCAATGAGGAGAAGGTATCTCTTGCGCATTAAAAGTTTGCGAAGTTTATCTGCCAATTCATTTTCAGTTTCCCTTCCAAGTTTAGCTCTTTCATCAGTAATAATATCATGTAGAATGGCTAGTAATAAGTCCTTCCGCGTATATTGTTGAGAGACACAGCAATGGGCATGTATGTCAAAATAAGAGACAACTGACTCATCAGAATATAGCTTGTTAGCCAGAGTTGTCTTGCCTAATCCAGCCATTCCAACAATTGAGATTACATCAAGGCCTGATGGTCCTCCTTTAAGTTTTCCTATCAGTTCATCCTTCACATCCTCAAAGCCTACGATTTCTTCATTGATCCTTTGTTTACTAGCTAATTGTGAAGAAGCAACACCAAAGATCCGAACAAATCCCTTGAGAACTAACTGCACAAATGAAGTTAGCTTGTTTGGAGATGAGAGTAACTCATTAGGAATCTCTGCTATCTCTGCTACTTCTGCCATGAGCATTCTTATATCCTCTCCAATATTCAAGATCCAGATAAAAAGACACCAGTCCGGAACATCTTTTTTCTTACAGGTATCAACCATATGTTCTACCTCATACACCAAATGAGAAGTCTTCGTTGCAAAATGTTGAAGTCCGTCTTGCTGTTGTACAACAGCTTGAAAGAACTGGAGTTCTTTCTGAATTTTCGGAAGTTGGCTTTGAACCGAATCAACTGAATTTGAATACATGCTCAGAAACTTCTCCCTGTTGTCTAAAACGAAATTAGCAGAGTCCACTCTGTCAATTCCAGGTAAGTTGAACTGGAGGAGGAATTTCTTTCTAGCGATGAGGTAGATCACACTTTGCATACTTTGGATTTTTCCCGTGAAATCAAGATTCTCATTATCATCATTTAATGAGCAAACCAGAAGTCCTGCATCAACAATTGAAAAGTCTATATCCTGAAGATGAAGTTCAATGACCTGTGTTGGTAGATTGACTAGAGTATCTCCGAAGAAGTTGAGCGTCTCCTGAAGTTCTGCCTTTATTGCAATGCAATTACTAGAGACTGGTAATCCTTTTAAAGTGCGTCGAAGAGACTCCAGAAAACCAACTTCACAATCGAATACATACTTAACATTGATAACGGGATTCCATTGTGACTCAACCAAATTTAGAGCTTGCAAGATATGAATATAGAACTTGCATATGCTTGGCTGAATAAGCTGGATTTTCCTCTGCAGAAGATCAGAAAGCAAAGGATTCTCACCGTTTGGAGCTGTGTCTTGATACATGTATTCATTGCTCGGAAGATACAACCACGTAGCCATAGTTGTTTGCCAGGCCACTTGTACAACATGAGTGAACAAAGCATGTTGGACCCGAGTCTCTATGCATCTATCTGAAACAAAGCAGACAAAACTAGAGAGGAAATCCAACCCCTTCAAAACCATTTCTATTTGAACCATGCATCGTCCCCCAATACAAAGTAGTGAACTTGGATTGTCAAATTTCAGTAAATTACTGAGACTATCAGCAACAATGTCAATGAATTTCATTACAGAACCGGGAATCACAATACCATCCTCATTGGCTAAAAGTTGACATGATATTTTGGGAAAGGGGAAATTAGCCCTCATGATTTCCAACTTAGTCTGCTGAAACTCATATTGCAAGTGGCAGATATAGTCATAAAATTGGTGATTCCACGGACTGACTTCCGTACTGTACATCTTTATGAGTTCATCTGCAGCACCGTGGAACAATGCTCGAACTTTTCCCCAGCTGACATCTGGTTGATCTTTGAAGATATGCAATTCGATAATGATACTCAGGAAGTTGGAATCCCTTTTAAGGAGCCTCAGTCTATCAAACAAAGACATATGTTCTTCTGAAAAGAAATCGAAGGAACTCCATTCATCTTGCATCAACAGCAGATAATCCTCTGAGGACAACAAATATGTTTCTAAAAGTATAATGAATGAATCACATCCCTCTCTACATTCCTGTGAAGTTTCAACGAAATCAGACACCTTTGATCTGAATTCCTCCAAATACATACGGAATGAGCCCCAGTCCTCTTCAATACGCAGCAGAACGCTAAGGGTATCAAGTTCCTCTGAAAACAGATATTCAACTAAGAATGTATAGAATGAATTGCATTCATCTTCCATCCGCTGCAGAGTTTCACATAAATGAGATACTATTGGCAGGCAATTGGCTGGAAACAAAAGGTCTTTCTCTTCAATCCACTGCAGTGTGTCAAGCGGAAGAGACTCCTTGAAAAAATGAAATCCCTCTAAAAACATATTGAATGAATTGCTTGCCTGTGCAAAACGCTGGAGAGTTGTCAGGATATCATCAGATTCCTCTGAGAACATATCGTAATCGGATGAATACCATTGATCTTCAATCTGATTCAGTGTTTCGAGAAGATGGATGTTGTCCGAGAACATACGGAATGAACCCCATTTCTCTTCAACCCACTGCAGAGTGTC